AGCAGGTAGTTAACCTCCTTATTGAAAATAAAATAACTAGCAATAGGATAACTTAACATTATATATACAACCACAAATCAGAAAAAGTTGGGACAGTATAGAAAAAGCTAATTAAAAATAAAAGAAGTGAATTCTAAATTTACTTGGATTGGTATTTCTTTCCAGACGTTTCATTTATTCATTTATTCATTCATTTTCTTGTAGGCTTAGTCCCTTTATTAATCCGTACATTCACACACACACTCATACACTATGGACAATTTAGCCTACACAATTCACCTGTCTTTGAACTGTGGGGGAAACCGGAGCAGGGAGAACATGCAAACTCCACACAGAAACGCCAACTGTGCCGAGGATCGAACCAGCGACCCAGTGGCCTTCTTGCTGTGAGTCGACATCACTACCTACTGCGCCACTGCGTCGCCTCCCAGACAATACAACATTATTTAATGTAATCCTCGTGATTTTTTTTTTTTTTTAATAAACATGTATTCCAATGTAACTTCTTTCAACACATTTAAAAAAGAGTTGGGACAACAATAAAGCAATTATCACTTTATGTTGTTGTCATTCCTTTACACAACACTTAAAAGATGTTTAGTGACTGAAGACACCAAGTGATGAAGTGTTTCAGGTGTAATTTTGACCCATTCTTTACTCAAACAAGTTTTCGAAATGCACCACACATTCTTTATTGGAGACAGGTCTGGACTGCAGGTAGGCCAGTCAATTACCCGTATCCCCTTCCTTTGTAACCAGCACTTTGTAATGTGTGCAGAATGTGGTTTTGCATTGAAATATGCTTGGGGTCCTTGAAAAAAAAGGCAGGAAATTGTGCTCCAAAAGTTCAATGTACTTTTCAGCATTAATGATGCGAAAGAAGTGCAAGTTACCTTTGCCAAGGGCACTGACACAACCCCATACCATGACAGACCCTAGACTTTAAACTTGTTACTGGTAACAATCTGGATTATCCTGGATGAGCACATGGCATCCATATCTTAAAACAACACCTGAAATACTGATTCATCTGTCCACAGTACTAGTTTCCATGTGATGGTCCATCCCAGTTACCTCAGAGCCCAGAGAATCAATGGTGCTTCTGGACATTGTTAACATAGGGCTTTCCTTTGGCACAGTACAGTTTTAACGGGCATTTGAAGATGTAACTATGTATTGTGGTACTTCACAAAAGATTGTTAAAGTAGTCATTAGCCCATGTGCTGATGTCGCTTACACATAAATGACAATTCTTGATGTAGTTCACCTGGAGATCAATTGGAGATCCCGGTTGTTCAGCTAGGTGTAAAAAACAAAAATGAAGAGCAGGGTGGGGTTCTGATTTGTGGTTGTATTTAGTATAATTCGGTCCATGTACAACTTAACTTTAATTTTGATTTTAAGTCGAACTAAAGTAATTCAATTAATACATTGTCTATAAAAGCAATAGTTTATCTTTGTTTTGTTTTGTCTTGGGCAGAATAAATATTTTATAATATTAAAATATATTAAAATCATTTTCAAAAAAAAAAAAGTCAAAACTATAATTTGGGGATTAAATTTATACTTTATTTATTTTGCTGTATCAAATTGCATTAGTATTTAGATTGGTCCAAAACAATATTATACTTTTATATAAGGTTTTAAAAAAATGTTTTTTACTTTGTACAAAAGTAAAAAAAAGTAAAGTGTATTTTAGTGCGTTTAAACAAAACAGATTTACTAAACAGATATATTTATTAAAATAATATTTAATCATAAAACATATTTAGAAACTAAAAGATAATACAACTAAATTCAAGCAAAATGCTGCAAAAAAAAGTACATCCTAAAAAATTTCAACAAAATTTTTCAAGTTTTTTTGTTTTTCTTAATTTTTCATCCTTTTAAAATTTGTATTAAATGTTTTTCTATAACATTTTATATATTTGGCTGTACTAGTTTTTGGACCGTTACGTTATTGTAAGTTATTTTCTTAGATGAGCTCCAGATTTGGCTTCAGTACTGACTAATCTAATGTATATCCAAAAATATAATATTGTATTGCTCATTCATTCATTCATTTTCTTGTCGGGGTCGGCACAGCGGAATGAACCGCCAACTTATCCAGCAAGTTTTTACACAGCGGATGCCCTTCCAGCCACAACCCATCACAGGGAAAAATCCACACACACACACATTCACAGTCATACACTATGGACAACTTAGCCTACCCAATTCACCTGTACCGCATGTCTTTGGACTGTGGGGAAACCGGAGCCGAGGATCTAACCAGCGACCCAGCGACCTTCTTCTACTGCACCACTGCTTGCCCAATATTGTATAGCTTCCTATTAAAAATATTAATTTAAATGAGAGATTTGTCTCATAAATGCTGAGCACTGTAGGATTTAACTTTATAGTCGAAATTAAGGTATAATTATACTTTGAGAAAAAAAAAAAAAAAAAAAGAGTTTAATTTCCTGTTCCGGGTTTGACATTAAGTATAAATATTTGTTTTTATATTTGTTTCATATCATCAACACAATAAAAGTCTTTCATGTGCTCATTCAGATAAAGAATGTCATTTACCTCATCTTTTAGTATCCATGAGTGACCACGAAAAAGGAAACGTTTTGGCTATTCTGGTCCAGACATAGATGAATAAAAAAGTATGATAAAAATGAGAACAAGGAAGAAACATGGTTGTAACACAAGGTCTGATGTATGGAAAAAGCAGTAATAGGTCACGTAGTGAATGTCAGACCCCAGAGATCCTCTCTGGAGACTGAGGATGTATGTAGGTCTTCTATATGCAGAAACGATGTGCTCTTACTGTCTGCTGAGGGCTCGGAGGTGTTCTGAACATATTCATCTCCCCATCCACTCTCATTTCAGTAGTTGTTGCAAGTTTTCAAAAGGTTTTAATAGATCACCTGGCCCAAAAACAAAATTGTCGCCTAATTGACCTAATTGATATATTTTAAATGCAAATAGGTTTGCATTCTATCCATAAAAAAAAAAAAAAGTTGATTGCATTGCAATTTTTTTTTTCCTTTTCAAGTATATCTCAAATGCTCTTTAACGTTTTTTTTTTCTCAACACATAATATAACAATGCTTTTAATAACTATTTTCTAATAAGTTTAGCACTGTTTGGCTTCATTACTGGATCAAAAAGTAATTTTAAATAATCTTGTGGATAAAAGTTGCTAGTGGTAGTTAAAGTGGCCAGAGTTTTTTTTTTGTTTGTTTTTTTTTTTTTGTGATACGTTTATTTCAAATAGACAGGATAAATATACAACGTATTTCAGGAGCAATTTTTAAAGATATTGACATGGGTTGTATTTCTAATAAACAGCAAAATCATAACATAAACATCTATACATACTGATTTACACACACTTATATACTACACATATAATTTAGTTTCAATTCAAATCAATTTAATTCACCTGTTCTGCATGTGTTTAGACTGCGGGGGAAACAGAAGCACCCGGAGGAAATCCACGCGAACACATAAAGAACATGCAAACCCCACACAGAAATGCCAATTGACTAATCACAGAGCCACCGTGTCGTTCTCACAAATAAACAAGCTAATCAATTAACAAATAATATATGTTGTTGTTGTTGTTGTTATTATTATTATTATTATTATTATTGTTGTTATTAATATTATTATTGTTATTATTATTATTATTATTATTATTATTATTATTATTATTATTATTATTATTATTATTAATATTATTAAGGTGTTAAAACATGGACGAAAAAACAAGATAACACCTATAAGCGCTATACAATCAGTAACTAAGTTAAACAGTCACAACCTCTGGAAATGCACATCGAAACATAATATGTATTTCTGAGATATTTTTTCTGTGTATATCTCCAACAGAACAATCCTTTAAGAAAGATATGTCATTTGACATAATAACAAAACCAAAAAAAAAAAAAAAAAGAATATTAGAAGAAGAAAAAAAAAGGAATTGACACACAAAACCCCTTCTCTATCGTCTGAAGTCAAGTGATCTGTAAAAAGAGACTGTATATTTTGAAAGCTCTGTATATCACCCTGAAGCACAGCTGCAAGCCTCTCATGGGGTAAAACCCTAAAAATATGTGTGTGCCATTGTATCACAGAGGAGGGAGTGCTTTTCTTGTGCATTTCTTGCTACAATTAGCAGTTATATTATAGTTTATATATATATATATATATATATATATATATATATATATATATATATATATATATATATATATATATATATTTTTTTTTTTTTTTTTTTTTTTTTTTTTTTTTTTGTATGAACTTTGTATGAAATTCATACAAACTAGTATGTGACATAAGTAATTTGTTTAGTATTCCATGATTTATTTTTTGGGATCTCTGTTTGCATCAGTCTGGGTCTTGTGGATTTTGACCTAAGGTTCTCTTTGTTCTAACTTGTAAATTAAAAAAAAAAAAATGGCCAAAGTATTAACAAAACATTACAAATTACATAAGCAATGAATAAAATCGTGAAGTAAATATATGCAGTAATACATATATTCTGTATACAGAAAAAGCACAATTAAAAATTATGATAGATACACATTTAAACAAGAAAGAAAAAAGACTAATATGAAGATTAAAAAGATAATGAGAGTGAAAAAAAATATTATCAAAATAGAATAAAAAAATAAAATAAAATGCACAACTGTACATTAATTCAGATGGTTTGTAATAACATCATTGTAATTCTCTCTCTCTCTCTCTCTCTCTCTCTCTCTCTCTCTCTCTCTCTCTCTCTCTCTCTCTCTCTCTCTCTCTCTCTCTCTCTCTCTCTCTCTCCCCTCTCTCTCTTTCTCTGTCTGTGTATGTGTAAGAGAGAAGGAGGGAGAGAATGTACACAGGTGTGGGTGTCCTTTATTGTCACCTGTCATTTGGCTGTCTGTGGCAGCAGTGTCATAAATCATTCTCAAATGGAGCTTTTCAGCAGAAAGTGACTGATTAATGTTCTTGTTCTTCCTCAGACTAGAAGCTGACACCTAGAGACAGCCCCAGCAAACTTCCAGACATGACCCACACAAACTTCTCTGACAGAGTTACAGTATACTGCTTGGTGACAGGAACACTTTTCAAATAACACCCAGGTTACACATTCAGATTTGCCTTTGCTGGTTGTTGTATAAACTTTACATCGTGTAGCATTTATGCTGCATAAAGAATACTGTGTTTGACATATTATATCCAGCTTACCATTATATTGCAATTTGTAATCCTACACTTAAAAGATCAGTATGTTAAAATTTATTTTGCAGTTTAATAAAGTTGCTTAATAAAGCAACATCATGAATATAATAAGTGTATATAAGTGTATATATTTAATTTTTGTTTACACTTTCATAGCCATTGATTCCTTTACCATCATCAGTCCTGATGGCAATCAAAAATTTATTGATGTTTTATTTACATAATGACCCTGTTTTTTTTTTTTTTTTTAAATAAAAACAACAACATTATTGTCCAATTTCTAAAAGCTGAGCATATACACATTTTCTTGTAGCTTCATATCACTTACAAACGCACACAAAAAAACAAAATGCATAAAATACAGTTAGTATATGCATAAAAAACTAAGACATAAAACACACCTTATCACACAGCATCAAGCATAATTATTCATACTAATAAATAAATAATATAAATGGATCACAGGCCAAAGCTGAAAAGTATGGCAATGTTTTTAGAGGCTTCTAACTAAGAATGTGTGAACATTTTTTATTTAATGGTACCTGGATAATTGATTTTAATTGGTTTCTTTGGACACATTTGTCCAAAAGAAATTTACTTTTTCAGTTTTTTACCTTGTAACTAGTGTTAAATAGAATAAGAAGAAAATGTAAAATGTTACGATTCCAATGACAATAATCTGTATTTCAGAAAGACATGTTGAAAAACTATTCTTTTTTTTTTTTTTTTTTTAGGGCTTCATGTTTTTCTTCATATTTTTTTGGTGTGAAATTGTATTAATGTAAATAAATAAATAAATAAATAAATAAATAAATAAATAAATAAATAAATATCTTTTTTTGGGATCTGTTTCCATCAGTCTGAATATGCTGATTTGCTACTCAAGAAACATTTCAGAATTTTCCAGATAAAATGAACACGAAAATTAAATCAAATTAAACTAAAACAAAAATAAATAAATAAATAAATAAATATTTTTGTGGAAAACCTGATTTTTTCCAGAATTTCCAGATAAAATACAATATTAAATTAACGTTCAGTTAAATCAAATTATATTACTAAATACATAATTTGTTTTTGTGAAAACCTGATTTGTTCTAGATAAAAATAAATATAATAATCATTAAATTTAATTAAAAAAAATAAATAAATATTTTCGTGAAATTCTGATATTTTTTCAGAATATTCCAGATAAATAAATTAATAAATAAATAAATTATTTAATTAATTAATTAATTAATTAATTAAAATAAATGAATAAATAAATATTTGTGGAAAACCAGATATTTTTTTCCAGATAAATAAATAATTAAATAAATAAATAAATAAATGTTTTGTAGAAAACCTCATTTGTTCCAGAACAGTCTAAACAAAAACAAATAAATAAATACAAAAAAAAAAATAAATAAATAACAAAAATAAATTAATAAATATTTTTGTGGAAAATCTGATATTTTCCTCTCAGAACATTCCAGATAATAAAGAAATAAAGAAATAATAAATTATAGGTTTTTTTTTTTATATATAATAGTCTAACAATTTAATAATTGTTTTTTTAATGAAATTAATGCATCACTATCTGAATAACAGTATGCTCTATCCCAATTAGTCTACAATGTTTGTTGTTTTTAGCATTAGTGTCCTTTCAATTTTGAAGTTTGAGTTTTATGGTTAAACATTTTCCTCTAATGGCTTTTCATTGTTTTGTTTTGTTTTGTTTTTTCTTATAATTTATTATACTTTAGCTTGACGCAGTTCTAGTTTCACTATTGTAAGACCTGCTGATGGATAGCTCTGTAAAAATCACCAGATGTGGCTTTCAGAGTTACAAAATACCAAGGGGACACACTTAACAAGCGCCTTCTGAATGCATTTAACGCTCTTGGTCATGGCTAAAAGTGTTGGAATCGCACAGCCAGAGTAATGCTACAATACGTCTTCTCCGCTCTCATCTTCTCTTACACTGAAAGACATGAATTTGACTGTGTATTACATTGGCTAGGTCAACTTTTACAACCCTGTACTGTCACTTCTCTATCACCTGAATAATAGCGAGCAGAGAAGTATCTGTAGAGGAAGATGGCAGTTGATTTGGTGAGCGGAGTGCTTTAAATTGCAGTGATAGGCACCGGCGTTCACATTGGGCAAATGCCATCTGTTCCCAATGATGGCCATATGGTTAGCTTTCTTTCCCAGGGTATAAAATACAAACAAATGTGTCAGAATGCAAGGGCTTTTTCCACAGACGCGCAGAGACTCGGCTAGAGGCAGCATCACAATGTGCGGGGAAGTAATTGCTATCGCCACCTTTGTGTTATGAGTTAGTTGTTGTTGCTTTTCTTTTGGGGTGAGGGAATCTGTCACGGCTGAGGAAAAGGACATTTCCACTGTGTTAGTGGAAAGCAAACACTTCCTTGTCAACCTTTCACTTATTATTTTTATTTTCATTTGGAGCCCCTTAGGCTGTAACTTTTTTTGGGGGTTTAAAATGATCTAAAGCCATTCAGTAACAAGCCAGTGTTCAATGGTTTCTCCTTATGTTAGCCTGTTTCTTTGTTTATTTTGAGTGCTACTGCTAGGTTTTTGAATCAAATGTGATCATTTTTAGCTTTTTACTACAGCAGCTGGAATAATCAACTCATCAATTTGTTTATATAAAATTTAAATGACTGTTAGAGATTAGACTGGAGAGGAATTTAGATCTACAGTTTATTTATTTATTTATTTATTTATTTATTTATTTTTATTTATTTATCATTTACTCACCCTTCACCACCACAAACCTGTTGGATTATTATTATTTTTTTCTATTGAACAGAAAATAGCATATTTTGAAGAAAGCTGGAAGCCCGTAATCATTGACTTTCATAGTATTTGTTTTCATACTACAGAAGTCAACGGTGACAGGTTTCACTTGTTTCAAAATATTTTTTTTAGTGTTCAGCAGAATAAAATAACATATAAAGGTTTAGCAAAACTTGAGAGAGATTACAGTTTTTTTTTTCCGACTGTTTACACGTTTTTACAACAATAAATTCTTTTTTTCAAAACTCTACACACAACTTTTAAAACTGCACACACAAAATGTAAAATGCCTCACATCTGCTGCAAAATGTTGTTCTAAACCAAAAGCTCTTTGCTCTTTCATAGGTTTATATCTACATTTCAATACAATGTTATACAGTGACAGTAAACTGCTGAGAGGAGTAACAGGTATACTGTAAACACCAATGACATAAAGAAACAGAAAGTATTTATTAGGGCTAACAATGCTGTTGAATACAGTAGCATACAACAAAACCATAAGAATATTGGATGTAAAAATATAAATAATAAAAATAAATAATAATAATAATTAATAATAATAATAAACTATTTATTATTATTATTATTATTATTATTATTATTATTATTATTATTATTATTATTATTATTATTATTATTATTACAGGCATAGAGTTGGCCATCATACACTTTACAGAGCCAGGCTGAGAGAAATGTCTAGTGAAGTAATTTGGCATTTACAAAAGGTAAATATGAGGGTATAGGTAGAAAACTACAAATAATGGATGGCTGGCAAACCATTTTTTTGGGACCAGAACACCCATTTGACCTGTTTACAGGCCTGTACTACAATAAACCACTGATCAGTTAGTGATCAGTTAGGAAATGAGTCTTTCCACATTTGAGGAGTGTGTGTGACCGTGCGAACAAGTGTAGCATATTGATTGGTTGTGTTTGAAAAAGAAAAGCAAGTAGCTTCCTGATAGATTTTTTGTGCTTTAGGTGGAGAATTGTGTGTAGAGTTTTAATACTGTAAGTATTGTTTTTTTTTTAAAAAGTAAAGTGTTTTATGCTGTTAAAAACTAATTTCAAGGCTGAAAAAATAGCTTTCGGATTTGGAGATTTAAGGTGTAGTTTTGCATTTTGAGTGAGAGGTTTCAGAAATTGTGTGATAAGAAAAGATTTTGTGTGTAAGCAGTTGGAAAAAACTGTAAACAATGCGCACATTTTAATTTTTGGATGAACTAACCCTTTAAGATTTTATCACCGTTTGTAGTCTGATGTATTCAAGTGATCAGAGCAAATAATGGCAGACATGTTACTTGTTCAGATAGCATTTTTGATGAAAATTCCTATTTGGATCACATTTTGTCGAATAAGTAAAAGCTACGCTTACTCCTCAAAAGATTCATTCATGCTAAGAAGCTACTCTCATGCTCAACCCATGTAAAGATGACCGTTCTGCAAATAACTACGACTGCACATTTCAAACCGAGATGGTGACAAAGAGGGAAAACTAACAAAAGGCAGCATTACGTTTCGTAAACAAGTCCCCTTTATCCTGTACTCTGACTGTGGGAACGCTGCTTTTTTCTCTCCATCATTTTGCCTTTGTTTTGGTGGATAGTGTTGGAAATTAGCAGACATAATGAGGTTTTGTTTAGCATGAGGCAGGCGTAGAGCTCCTGGTGTCTGAGTTTGTAGTGTGTGTTTTGAGTTTGTGTGTGTGTGTGTGTGTTGGTGGGTGAATCACTGAAGCCTGGGAGAAGGCCGTGGCCCCACCTCACATGGCAGAGACGAGCTGAAAGGCTCATTAATCAAACTCCGAGTCACAGATGTGATGGCTTCCACACAAACTGCCAGCAGACTGTGAAAGTCACATCCAACAGAGTCAACTGTCAAGCAGCTAGGCCACCATTTCCACCCAGCCCAGCTCATTGCTCATCCCTTTCCTCTAAAATCTTCCTCCGCACATTTATTTCCTTCCTTCCTACCTGTCTCACACCTCTTGCAATCATCAGTCGCAGTTTAATTCTTTTGGCATCTTTAACATATTACATGTTTGACTCCATTTGTACCTTTACATTTTGTAACATTTGTTCAATCTCCTTCATCATTATATTCGTTTAATAATATATATTTATACAACTTTTTTAAATTGATTATTATCCTGACATTGTTTGAGAGTCTGATCTAGACTGTTCCACAATTTCACACCACAGACAGACATAAACAAACTTTTTGAAACTGTCCTGGTTTTCAACCTCCTAAAACTTTGTTCTTCTCTTAGATGATATCCCTCTTGTCTTTCTTTAAAAAATTTTTGTATGCATTTCGGAAGTAATTTATTCCTAGCTTTGAACATAAATTGTTCTGTTTTTTTATTATTATTTATTTAAACAAATCATTTTTAAATTTAAACAAATCATTGAACTTAAGTATCTTCAATTAAATAAATAAAGGATTTGTATGCTCCAAATACCCCACATGTTTTTTTCAGTCTAACTACTTTTTTTCTCTGCATTATGCATATGTATAGTAAATTAGATTTATATGTAGTT